CCTAGTCTCTTCCCTGTGCCATTAAAGAAAGATAGAGATGGGAAAGAGCCCTAGCTGATAAATAGAAAGTAAAACATATAATTTGAAAAAGTTCAGCTAGTAAAAATATTTAATCTATAAGAAGGTGGAGAGAGTGAGTTTTTAATTTAGTTCTGTTTTTGTGCTAATCAGTGATAAATCAAAACATAAAGGAAGTTTCTTGTAAGTATGTTTTCATTTACCACACCTTGTGTTACAGGGATATATTTGGGTTAGAAAAGAGTAATGTGAAAGTTCTTGTTTCTCCTGAAGGTGATGGCAGGGTCTCATTTCACTTCCCTTATTGTTGCAGGGCACACTAGCAGCTGTTACAGGACTTTTTCAAGCTCATGTTGTCATTTCCAGAATAACCATTTCCTTGTTAATAAATCACTGCATTCCTGGGTGTTTAGCAGACTGGAATGCAATTACAGTGGAATACTTATACTCTGCTATAAGACTGGTGCAGAACTCTTGAATTGCAAGAGTCAAGAATTTCCCTCCCTTTGATTGTAAACAAAATATCATTTCTTTGAGCTTATAAGAAGTTTCTTTCTGTGTCACCTCTGAGTAATCTGTAATTGGATCAAAACTGTAAAATGAAATGCGCTCATTAAACGTACTTTGAGAAAAAGAAAATCAATCTTTTAATCTTACAAATCCGAGTTTAGTGTTTGGGAAACACTTTAAATATGATACCATTCATTTAAGTCTGTTTCAAAAGTAATTTCATTTGTAGAAGCATTTGCTACTATGTGGGGGAGTCTTTTGCTTGTTTCATCTTTAAAGGTTTGATTTTTTTTTTATTTCATAAAATCACACTAACCAGTTCCTTGATTAACTGTGCAACTTAAAATAGGTATGTGGTCAGTGTCACAGATGAGTGCACCATCACAGTCAGCCAAATTTATCCCAGCTAGTTCAAAGGAGTGCTATTATGAAAATATTTGAAAAACCTAGCGTAAAAAGCATAAATAGGATATGTATTATAAACTCAAAAGTTAAAATATTTAAATTATAGGGAATTATAGGGAATCTAACATAGTCATGATTATCACTATTTTAAATGGTCCATTTTTATAAAGTGGGTAACGTATCCTTTTGCTTAGAGGAGTTTGAATTCAATTTCATATATAGAACAAAAAATAGCAATTCACTTCCAAATAGTTGATCACTGGATAGCTGGAGAAGGGGGTAAGGCAGGATTGGAAGGATGTAAAAAATGATTCCATCTATTATCAACACACCTAGTAATAGGTGTTCCTCTCTCTCTTCAGCATGACAGTGCAGACTTTGTAGTCATCACTTGGAATCATGGATGAATTTTTAAGAAACTTCTCCCACAGTCCTCTGGAAGAACAATCATAATTCAGTCTGCTATGTAGATGGTGGCTTTCTTAGAAGTTCTGATGTGCTCCCATATGCTATCTCCCAAATGTATCCCCAGTATCTCTCCAAAATCCTTCTTTCCCTCTTTTGTTGGTAGATTTAGTTCTTTGACCTTAGTCAGAGCAGTCTCCCCTGGTCATCCTCCCAATCATCCCTTCCTCCCCACCTTCGTTACTATAAACTCCTTTAAAATTACAATATATGTATGTATTAGATTACTTTGACAGTATTTTGGAACTACAGAAGTAGCTCAGATTGTATGATACAAGTTAAAGTGAATAAAAAGTAATAAGAGAAGTTATCTTTGCAAATAATATTTAATATTCAAAACATTGCTTCAAGATATTTCAAGACAATTGTTAGTATAACAACATAAATATCTGAGTACCTGTCACTTACAGAAGTCAATGTTACCTTAACTGTTTGTTTTTGCTAGATGAAGAATCACATACTGAAACATGTCTTTCAGCTCTGGCTTGCTGATGATTGCTGGCTACAAGCAAACTTGTATTTAGGTATTCATCAAGACTATGATCTTGAAGACCAGAGGCCATATTGTTTCAGTGTCATGGTTGGACATGGCAAGAGTCATTATTTCAATGTAGAGTTTGGCAGTGAGTTGGCAGTGTGGGAGAAATCATTTCAAAGAGCAATCTTCTTGGAAGTTCAAAGAACAGGGGTAAGTAACGAATAATTTAAATCCTGTAGCCATTTCATCAGTAATATATTCTGTAACAAATTTTAGCAAAGTTACTGCATATGTTTAATAATTGTATTAGATTAATATGCACTATGAATAAGGATCTGACTGTACTTTAGTACACTAAAGGCTTCTGAAAGCTTCATCATCATAAACATTTGCGTGTCTATGAGTGTGTGATAACACTCTATGAGCGTATTATGACAGTTTGAAAATTAGAAGTAGTAATGTATAAATTTACTTTGATTCCAACATACTGGAACTTGACACATGCTGCAAATGGGAGAAAATTTCTGTGGAATTTCTTCAGGCTGCTTTGGACATTGTCGTCCATAAAATTATTTTCCGCTTACATAATATAAATTTATTATGTTTTACCTAATGGTTCTATTTTCAAAGAAGAAAGAAAGAAAGATTTTGCTCTTACATAGTTAATTGTAAATTAGGAGTAACTTTATTAACATTGGAAGAATCTGAAAAATCTGTAAAAGCATTGTAAATGAGAAGAAAGTTTGCCATATTAATTTTTAAAATGTCAAAATTAAACGATTAGCATACTATTTACTGAATAGTAAAATTCTCTCAGTCCCATTCTTTTCTCAGATCAGAGGATTCATTTCCCATTACATGATATGAAATTCAAGATGTAGATTCCTAGTATAGTTGCTTAGAAGTGGGTGTCTATTAGCATTGCGGTGTCTCAGCTCTCATGAGAGCCAGCGAATGGAACCTCGAGAATGATTGTGTTTATCCTAAAGGCGATATTTTATTCTAACGGAGATATTTTGTGGTATGAAGACAGAGCAGGTCTATTGATTCTAAGTTAAGTTGTAACTTACAGCTTATTTATACTATATGCCATTGCTATACATATAATATAATTGCCATTGCTATCCAGGAAATTTTTTGTTGAAAATCTATATGCATAATCCCAGCTGAACTGGGTGAGTAGTTCACAAATGTATGGGTTAAGAGTATAAGCCTTCTCCATTTCAAAACCTATTTACACAATTTAGCACAAATGTAAGCTTGACCTGGTATGTGCTGGTTTGCAGAGGCCTCCTAAAGATGTTTATACTAGCCAAAGGATTGTATCACAGTATTGCATTAGCACAGCTTGCAAGGTGTGGGAGTCCCAGCAAGGTTATTGAACCAGCTTTTCTACATTTATATGTATTTGGAATTCTCAGGAGACTTCTGGATGCTCACTTAGGACAGTTTTAATTGTCTCTTTGGACAGATAAGGTAACAAAAAAGATTCTGTAATGGTGATGTTGTTGTTCCTGCACTTCTGAGAAGGAATGTAGTCCTTCAGAAAAAATTGATTCTTCCTGAAAAATCGCTAGGCTTCAGGGAGGGATTAGTAATGCTTACTGAGCACATGTAAAGAATGTTCTCACATGAACTCTTCAAGAAATAGTGATGTATCTGTTTGACCAACCATATAATTATCCTATTCATCATCCATATAAAAAAAAAGATAATAGATAATTAAAGTATAGGAAGGGCTGGGATCAAATGATTCAGTAGCTGATTTAAAAACATTATTTTCTGAAGTGTTTATTTCAAAACCTGATGTTCTGTTACATTCTAACAATCTCAGAATTAAGGGAGAATTATTCACTTGTGCAATGATCTATGTCATTTGAATTCAACAATCTGCTAGCCCAGTGCAGCACAAAAGATATTAACATTTCTTCTAGTCGTGGTTCACCCTATCTGAAGCCTCCAGCTGAGGCATTCAGTTAAAATCCTGGTCGCAATGCCTAAGTTTCTATATGTGTGTTCCCATATCTTAATTTTCTGGCACTCAGTTTCATACATTCAAGTTTGCTATAAACTGCTATGCCAGTAGGGTACAAAGTGCTGTGGTCACTCTCCAGAAGTGAAAAATCTTTCTGATTCCACTATTTCCTTTCTTCCTTCAAAACATAAATGCTACTTTTCATGTCCATCTTTTCAATAGCATATCATGAGCAGCATGGATGAGGTCTGCAATTTAACATTACGTAGAGCATAGACTGACATTACAGTATCCAGGAAAGTTATGACTTGTAGGTTAATTTGTCCATAAGAATTCTTTCTTTTAGATTGCACTACCCCCTTTCAGCCATTCTTTTTTAAATATGAATTGGTTCTATTTGCTTCTGAGGCTCATTGGGATCTTATATTTGACCAAGTTGTTGTTAATTTTATCCTGTACATGTTCTTTGTATTTGATTTACTGTAAGAAGAATTATATTCCGTAGAAATTTCTATCCTTACAGTGTTTATGTAGAGAAGAGTTAAGGTACCGTGATATGATCAAAGGTGCTTTTTTTAAGTTCATTTCTCATAATGTGCATGTTCCTTGATTTTTTTTTCTGAAAATGGTAGCAGTGTTAAGTGACACAAAGAATTCAGTAAAGTAAGAAAAAATTCCCCTCACAATATGATTACCCTTTCAGCTGTCTTAAGGCCATGTTTCAAAGCTGCAAATGCTTAACCTAGAGGAACGTACCAATAACTGTGAAATTCAATGAATCTAATGAAATGAATCTGTTTACAAATAATGATAGCAAATAAACATGCTAAATGCATGTCCTAGAAATATTTATATTTTCTGTGAAGAAAATAGTATAATTTGATAGTATAATTTGGGCTGATAGGGTCTTTAAAAATGCAGGAGACTGGGCAGGAAGGCAGTTCAAAGGCAGAAAAGTGTTCTTTAAAAGCATTTTCATGAGGTTGATGATAAAAGCATTGCAATAGGGCATGAACTCCTCTGAATCACAACCAGAAGGTCAGTCATTGTCCACAAATCCCAGCTCTAGAGTACTCTAGAGCTCTGGAGTACTCTAAATGACTGCAAGACCAATTTATGATGCTCAAAGTCATTATTCTCCCTTTTTTAATTATTATTATTTTTTACAGTGTAGATAATCTTCAAAACTATTTTAAAGCAAAAGTATAATGCTTCTTTTACAAATATCATGCTACTTCTTTGACTAGTACAGTCTTATTCCTTGTCTTTTCAGTGTTGTCTATTTTTAATTACTTTCTAATCATTATTCCTTCTCCTCAAGCAAATCTTTCCAAAGCAATGAATACAGTTGTTAAATTAATGCAGAAACATTTAGATAGGATGATTTGGATCTTTGGACACTTCAGTCTTGACCTGTAGGAAGACAGAGAAGGAGATGGACATAGTATTTGGGAAAGGAAAGAGTTATAGTGTTCCAATGAATGGCAATGCAGTCTTGTACCCCGTTCTTCTCTGGTCATGATCAATCTTAGACTACTTGTATATTTTGAACTCTTTTATTTTAGATTTTAATGTTTCTATTCAAAGTTAAAATCTGTAAGTACTAAAATCTGTGTGAGACTGCTAAATAATTACAGTGTAATATTCCATTATAAATCCCTCATAATATTGTTGAACTCAAGTAATATTTAATTTGAGGGGTATTGGAAAGCCAATTAACACTGTTTTATGGAAAAGAGGTTTTTAACCCAACTAGTTTGACATCATTTATCATCATTACATTCCACTACAGAGTGGTCCAGCTGCAAGAAGGTGTGGAAAGGGCTCCATCTGAAACTATTTCACAGCATGTGTTAGTTGCCAAGTTCAGCTGAAGATTGCAGGGTTAGAGGAAACTGAAGAAAAGAAAGCTTGCACTATTTGGAGCCCTGCAGCCTAAAATGAGTTTAGTTCCTGGTTCTCCTTCCTGGACTGTTACACAAAAGGTATTTGTTAGCCATTCTCCAACGGCATCTTGAATTAATCTTAACATGACCCGAGTTAGAAGTAGTCAGAATAGACCTAAGATATGGAGTCCCACCGGGGGACTCACAGGCAGAGATTAGGTATCTTCCTACTCATCTTTGTAGCACGTCTAACCTAGTTCTTCCAAGAGCTCAGAAAACTTTAAGTGTCTAAGCAGCTCTACAGTGGAAAAAAACACATTGATTGTTTCTAGGCATCTTTAGGAGTTAAATGGTGCTTGAGAAATAGGAGTCTGAATCACCCTCTAAGTTAAAATTTAGCAGAAATTAGGGAGTCTGAATAAGAAGTAATTGTCATTTCTAGCTTATGAATCTATTAATTCTTCATGGTAAACTAAGAAGATGAATAAAACAGGATGATGAATGTGATGCTTGTGAGCTTTAAATAATTTATTTAAAATGCAAAGATATTAGATCAAGTTGTCAACATTATCTTAATTTTATGTTCTGTGATAATGACAAAAACGTATGAAGCAAAATTATACACAGAAATTCCTACAATAATGGAAAAACCATCATATGCTAATTTTAGAGCATACTGCATTTTAATTTCTGAAGCAAACAAATAAACAAACTGAATATCCTCTTTAAATTCAGGTGAGATATTAAATAGCAGTTGGATTATGTTAGATTTATAGGGTTATTAAAAGATACTTACCAGTTTGTTACCAGAAGCACTCAGATTAATTACCTAATTAAGTTTTAGATTGTTTTAATTATGTACAGGAAGCTTATTACAATTCCAATTTAACTGGTCATCTTTAGAAATGCTATTAAATTTTAATTAATTTTCATGCAAATGCAAAAAAAGTTCCTTAATCAAAAGTCAAATCTTTAGAACCATACAGATTAATTGTATGTGTTTAACATTGGTAAAAACAATTAATAATTCAGCAAATAGGATATTGAGGAAGAATCCAGCAGTGCACCTATTAATGTTGAAAAATAGACAAGAATTTTTATGCATTTGCAAGAATATTAAACAAAACCTTACTTATGTATTCTGTAGTTTATGTACTCATATTTAAAACATGATTAATATAAAATGTTGTTTTTCATGAAGGTACACCAATATTTCTAGAAATCCTAGTATATTCCTAAAATTACAAATGATCTAAATGAAACAGATAAATTTACATCATCAGACACACACACACACGCGCGTGCACACACACACACACACATATATGTATATAAAAATCTAGAGCTTT